ATTTTGGAGGGGTCGACGGAGATGCCAAATTGGTTAATATAAAATCCTAAGAAGGCTATTTCGGTTGTCATAAAGGAACATTTGGTTAAATTGATATAGAGCTTATGTTTGTGTAAAGTTTCAAACAAGGTCCTAAGGTGGAACACATGCTCATCGCTAGTTTTGCTATAAACAAGGATGTCATCGAAATAAACGACAATAAAGGTATTAATGAAGGGTTGTAAAACCTGGTGCATTAGACGCATGAACATGCTCGGTGCATTGGACAAGCCAAATGGCATGACTAGCCATTCAAAAAGCCCTTCATTGGTCTTGAAAGCCGTTTTCCATTCGTCCCCCGGACGGATTTGGATTTGATGATATCCGCTTTTTAAATCTACTTTGGAGAAGAAACGGCCGCCATATAATTGGTCCAAGAGATCAGATAATCTTGGAATTGGAAAGCGATATTTGATGGTGATTTTGTTAATGGCCCTGTTGTCAACACACATACGCCACGAACCATCTTTTTTTGGCGCGAGTAAGACCGGTACCGCATATGGACTAAGGCTTGGCCGTATATGGCCTTTATTTAAGAGTTCTTGTACCTGTTGATGCAGAATTTGGTACTCTGCAGGGCTCATTCTGTAGTGTGGAAGGTTGGGTAAGGAAGAGCCGGGTATAAGGTCAACGCAATGCTGAATATCCCTTAAGGGTGGCAGATCAGTAGGTTCCTCCAATATTGACTTAAATTCGTTGAGTAACTGGGAGATTCTTGGCTGAATGGAAGTGTCATGGGGTACCACTGCGTCTCCTTTAGCCACAAGGGCAAGGAGAAGAGGTTCATCTTTTTGTAGGAAGTTTTTACCCGGAATAAGCGAAAAGAGTTGTTTGGATGGTGAAGGAGTATCCCTCCGTTGTTTACTATCCAAAGTTGTTGGTAAAAGGACAATCTTTTTACCCATCCAACTAAATTCATAAGTGTTACCATAGCCACGATGTATAGTTTGTAAGTCATACTGCCAAGGGCGACCAAGAAGGATGTGGCATGCATCCATATCCAAGATGTCACAAATGACCTGGTCTTTATATTGGTTTCCAATGGATAGAGGGATAGTACAAACAGAAGTAACTTGAACCTCACCCCCTTTTCGTATCCACGAGACTTTATAAGGCTGTGGATGTGGGTCAATATTCAAATTAAGAGCAGTAACTAACCTTTGGGAGACCATGTTCTCGCTACTCCACGGTCAATGATGACGTTACAAATCTTGCCATTAATGGTGCAGCGAGTGCGGAAGAGGGAATGACGTTGATTAGCAATTTCGACTTTGGGTGTGAGAAGGACCCGTTGAATGACACAATTAATGAGTTCGCCCTCGTCTGGTTCGACATAGGTAGTGTCATCTTTCGTAATCTCAACATCATCAGGGTCATACTGACCGTCATCATCGACCAAGACTACAGCTCTTCGTTGTGGGCAATCATTAGATAAATGGCCAACTTGCCCACAACGAAAGCATTTGCCCAATGTAGGCCTGGCATATTGATTTGTGCCTCTCCTAGGCGCCAACTCCGCCGGTTTGGTAGAAGGTTTGGCAATGTCATCAATGGTTTCAGAGGTCGAGGATGAGGGGACTCCATTATTTTTCCCTGAATCGACTGTAGGGAATTTTGAACTTACAGTTTTATCCCAGGGAAGTCGCCGAATAGGAGTCTTGAGTTTCTTTTTGTCCATTTTTTCATCAATCTTGGTTGCCATGGTTATAGCATCAGAAAGGAAGCCAATTGGTTGGATATCCATCTGGTCTTGTATATCTTCGCGAAGACCATCAACATACGTGGCAATCTTATAGTCCTCTGTTTCGGTCAAGTTGGTGCGTGCTCCCAGACGATGGAATTCCTCAGTATAATCAGCAATGGTCTTGGTCCCCTGTCGACAACGTTGATACTGTTGATATAAGAGCTACTCAAAATTGGTTGGTAGGAAACGTTCGCTCATTAACCGAAGCATGCGCGGCCAGCTGCGAATAGGATGTTTGCCCTGCCGTCGACGATTAACCTCCAGTTGATCGCACCAAGCAGAGGCGCCAGACTTAAGTTTGAAGGCAACCAACCGAACTTTCTTATCCTCCGGAGTATTGGTATATTCAAAAAAATTCTCTACATTCTTGACCCAATCCAAGAATGCTTCAATGTCCATTTTTCCATTAAATTTTGGGAGGTCAATTTTCATCCAGAAGTCAGTACGAACACCTCCTCCATTCTGGCATCCAAAACGATCGAAGCGCTGATTCCCCCGAAGAAAATCCTTTTATTCCCCTGAAGAATCTGAATCTTGGACCCTTAGTTGGAGTTCTTGCTGCCGTCGGTCCCGTCTGTAGATATTTCTTGCAATAACGGGAGTGGGTGATCGGTTTCTTGGTTGATATGCCCGTTCTTGTTCCCGGCGACCGCCGCGATTGCCTAGATCATCCCGTAGCCGCTCTTGCTCAAGTTCTATGTTCTCCAGATGTTTTGATAGGTTCTCCATAAGTCCGTGGATTGTCTGTACACTGGATCGAACCTCTCCTAAGGAATCTTCCACTAACAGTAAACAATCAGTGGTGGATTTTGGTGACAGAGGTTGGTATGTTGAAGGATCTGCTGTGGTTCCTTTGCCGAAAGTCGCTGTGTTCTTCCCAGCCATCAGGTCTTAAGTTTCGAAAAAGGGCTCTGATACCAATTTGGTGTAATACCAAGTAAGAATTTTCTATTTCACTTTTGAATGAATCCTCCAAATACACAAGGGTTGGTATTTATAGATAACCAACCTAACCAACCATCCGACTAACGGCTAAATGAAAAGATACTAACGGCTAACTAGAAGAATTACTAACCAACGGCTAATTTACAACATTTCCTACATCACCTTTGTCTGCCTCAAATCTCAATCCAAGAAGGAGAAGGCTAGGAGAGTCGAGGACTTTAGGCCAGGTTATGAGTGTTCATAAAATCCTAGCTAAGGTCTTGGCTGATTGACTTAGGAAAATCCTACCTGATACGATTTTTGATCTCCAAGGAGCCTTTATTGCAGGTAGGCAAATCCTAGATCAAGTCTTCAGAGTCAATAAGGCAATTGAGGACTATAAGTCTCGTAAGCAAGAAGGGGTCATTTTTAAGATCGATTTCGAGAAGGCCCACGATCATATGGATGGGAATTTTTTTGGGATAAAGTGCTTTGGAAGAAAGGTTTTGGCTATAAATGGAGATTTTGGATTTGGAGTTGTATCAGGATAGTTAAATTCTCCATTCTTGTAAATGGGAGGTCTAGAGGTAAAATCATTGCATCGAGATGGCTGAGACAAGGAGATCCTCTTTCACTTCTCATTTTCATGTTTGTTGTGGACACGCTTAGTAGAGCGATCAGAAGGGGTTGAAGGTGGTGTTCTTGAAGGTTTCTAGGTGGGGAAAGATAGGTTTCCTTGTCTCACCTCCAGTTTGCTTATGACACTATCTGTTATGGTATGGAAGAGTCCTTTATTGATCTCAACGGCTTCCTTTCTTTCTTTGAGGTGATTTCAGGTTTTAAGATTAACAAGATTAAGTGTTAGTTTTGAGGTATTAACTGTATGAGATTCGAACTCAGGCAACCCAGTGGGCTTGGCCTGTCAATCCACTGCGCCAAATTGAACTCTTTCTTAGGTATTAACTATCCTTATAAGTTGTCTATGTGGGCTTCTTTCATGGGGTGAGAGGTAGGGTCTTTCACGTCCTCTTATTTGGGTCTTCCTTAGGCCGGGCTCTGTTGTGGAAAAGGTGCAGAAGCATATCTCCTCTAGAAAAAGGCTTATTTTCCTAGGGAGGGAGTTTAACGCTCATTCAATCTGTCCTCATTGGAATTTTGACTTACTTCCTCTCTTTGTTTAGAATGCCAGCGTCCATTAGCAAATCCTTGGAGAAAATTATGTGTGACTTTCTTTGAGGAGGGGTCGATGAAGGGAAGGGGACTCATCTTGTCAAGTAGGAGTTGGTGAATAAGCCTCTGGTTAGAAGGGGTTAGCAATTGACAGTTTGATGGCAGAATGAAGCCTTGTTGGCAAAAGGGCTATGATGCTTCCCGCAAGAGCCAAATTCTTTGTGGCATAGGGTGATAGCAAGCAAATATGGTTCGCATCCGTTTGAGTGGATGACTGGTGGGGTCTAAAGGCACTTCCAAGAACCCTTGGGTGGCTATCTCTTTTGGTTTTCCCTGTTTTTCTCTGTTCGTTCGTTGTCGGGTGGGGGATAGGTTTGATACTTACTTTTGGGAGGATAGGTGGCTTGGGGATTGTCCATTATGTTCTCTTTTGCCTTGCCTTCACCACCTTTCCTCCATGAGGGGTCGTTCAGTGGCTTCAATCTTGCCTTCATCGTCCTTTGTCCGATAGGGACACGACGAAGTTTGTCTTGTTAGCTTTGTTAGGGGATTTTGTTGTTAATTTGAGGAGGAAGGATTCTCGTCTTTGGTCTCCTATTTTCTTGTAATCCCTTCTTCTTGTGTTTGGTGGATCCCCATCCTTCTCGTTGCTCTGTTTTTCTTTGCTTTGGAAGGTTAAGATTCCAAAGAAGATTAGATTCTTTGCATGGTTGGTCTTGCATAGCATGGTTAATCCTTTGGATCGTATCATGAGGCATTCTTTTGCTCTAAGCAAACCCCATTTCTATATTCTTTCTAAGAGGATCTCGATCATATCTTTTGGTCTTGCCAGTTTGCTTCGTCAGTTCTAGATTGTTGTGTTTGGGGTTTTGGAGTTTGTCTTGCTCGCGCTAGAGAGCGTAAATTGATGTTAGAGGAGGTTCTTCACCACCCTCCATTTCGTGATAGGGGTCGGTTTTTATATGATAATTAATATGCATATGATACTAAACAGAATTCTAATTTCATCATCTAAGCTTGTAATCAAAATCCTCCACCAGCCTTCTTTTAGTAATTATTTTTTTGTTCTGTGGGATGGGATCACGTGGTTTTGATTTTTTGCTTGATCTGATGTCTTTTACAGTTTGCAATATCTGCTGGAATTATCACTTTCTGCACGATGAATAACCTTTTCAAGTACAGTGATAAGACAGTGGTCTTCATCTACTTCTTTTCATTTGGATTAAGTGCAATCATGTTTTCATTTCTGATCTCTACATTCTTCAAACGAGCAAAAACCGCTGTGGCAGTGGGAACACTTTCTTTTCTAGGTGCCTATTTTCCTTACTATACTGTTAATGATGAAACTGTGTCCATGTAAGTATCATTGGTACTAGGAATTATATTTGTTTTATTTAGTTGACAATTTCATTTTTTGAATTTAAATTTGATCCAATTTTTTAAACTCTACATCAGGATAGTGAAGACAACTGCTTCATTGCTTTCACCAACAGCTTTTGCTCTAGGATCCATTAACTTTGCAGATTATGAGCGTGCTCGTGTTGGACTTCGATGGAGTAACTTATGGAGGGTATATTATATTTAAAGAGTTTATCTGTGCCTTTTACAGTAATCAGCAGGATTTTCTGGGGGGGGACTAATTGTTGGCAGCTTGATTTGGATAGGCATCCTCTGGAGTAAATTTTTTGGTGTGTCTTTTAATGATGTTCGTTGATGCGTTGCTTTATTGTGTAATTGGTCTTTACATGGATAAGGTACGACTTTAAACTCAAATATTTTTTAAGGTGAATCTTTCCATTCATAAATATTCATGCCAGAACTTTTTGTTCCTTGAACTTTTAAAACATCAATTTTGTGACTAATTTTTGAAACTTCAAGACAAAAAAATTAGTATGCCAAAGCATGATTTTTTCCTTAACAGAAAGAGAACTAAAACTATCCTTTGTTATTTTACTTGAATAACCTTCACCAAAGTAGGAGACAATCAAGCATCCTAACACTTCCCATCATCTTTCTCTATTTTTAGTTCTAAAATATACAATGAGATGAACGACCTTACTTGAACAAGATCTGTTTTATAGGTTATACCTCTGTATCCTTGACTTCTAAAAAAAATACAATGAGATGATACAACAATTAGAATTCCTAGAAAGTTTACTGATGGACAATGTGTACATATGGAAGGAAAACTGACTTGCCCAATTGAATGGTTCCCTTTTGTGCGATAGATGAGAAACTAATATCTACTGTTCTAATTTTATCATTGTCATCTTATTTCAATGAGAAGTTGTATCTTTGTTCCAAAAAAATTTTATCATTGTCATCGTATCAATTTGCTCCATGCTAAAGAAACTAGAGTCGCCATAACTGACATCAAATATTCACGTATTTTTGTTTTTTTAAAGATACGAACTTCTCATTGATTTAATGAAAAAGAATACCATGTTCAAAGATAAAAGATACAAACTCCAAAAGGAGGGAAGAAAACAAAAAGAGAAAAATGAACTAATGCTAACAGAGTAATTTGAAAAAAGATTGGATAGAGCACACCATTGAGAGGCTATAATCTTATTCATGTCAAAGTAAACCTCTGGAGTTCTACTTTTTCGTTTAAAAAGTCTCTGATTTCCTTCATACCACAGCTCATATAACAGTGCTTTTAACTCCATTGATTCATAACAATCTTGGAGCATCTAAAAGATCCGGACCAAACAACAGATGAGAAACTATCTTTGGAACTCCAAACTCAAAAACCCAGGACATGTTGAATACAAGAGAAAGATATCTCCAGCAAGCAGAAGCATCATTTTGAATCAAATATTCACGTATTAGTATTGCTCTTAGTCTAATTTTGAATCATTTTAAAGATTCTCTCAGACATATCAAAGACAAGTAAATTGCAAATCTTTGAGAGTTGAATGTAATCAAGAAAAAAAATGTAAAGCGCAAGAACCAATAATTATTGAAGAGTGCGATAATGGCATGGTAGAAAGTAAACGTCCAGACCATGCATACAAATGCATCAATACGAAGACCTCTGGAGGTGAATCTTGAAAAAAAACCCAATGCAAATTAAAGATTCATAAGAGGTGATTCCAGCAATACAAGGCATATGGACAGCCAAAGAATACATGATTAGGTTTTGAAGCTGCAAAACACCAATAGCAAACTGATGGCAAAAAAGATGACATTTTCTTTGGTAAAACATCTGAAGTATTAACCGTTCTGTAAGTAATACCCAAAGAATAATGCTGATTCTTTTGAGACTTTTTGATTTTCATATTGCTGAGAAAAAATCTTTTGATAATGGAGAAGATGAAACAAGCTGTCTTGACTGAGAAAGTACCTGAAAGCTCAAGACTCCATATTTCAAATCATCTTGAGAATCCAATTTATTTTTTATTTTTATTTTTATTTTTTTCTATTTGGACATGAAAAGAACTTCAAATTGAAATAATGAAAAGGAACATACATGTTCAAAGATACAAACTCTCGAAAGAGTGAAAAAAACATTACAAAACACAAACTAAATTTGGGAACTGAAAGCACCCCAATTATAACAAATTAGAGTAGGAGAATAATTTCCAAAAAGAGTTGGCATAGAACATCATTGTGAAGTTTTAAATTTAGCTATGCAAAACCTCGATTCGAGGTGGTTAGATTTATGGCTTCTCAATGATGTTCCATTTCTAAATTAATTTCAGATTTCTCGTTGCAAGTATTTGTATGAATTGGGAGGTTTTTATAACTCCTTAGTTAAATTTATTTTTCTCTTTCCTTTGAAGATTTTTCTTTTTATTAATTGAATGAAAACTCTTCGGTCCTTGTAAAAGAAAAAAAAAGGTAAATATTAAATAAATATGGACAATTAATACACAGAATAATATCTATCTTTAGGTCAAATTACAAGTTCAGTTCTTGAACTTGAACTTTCAGGGTTCAGTTCTCCATTTAGATATGAGAGAAGAATAACTATTAGTAATGGAAAAATGGAGAACATTTACACCAAGTAATAGCCAAGAGAACTATAGCGTTAAAAAAAGGGTCATAAGAAAACTCATGTTCTTTGAAAATTCTTTGATTTCATTCTTACCAAGTAATCCAAAAGAAGGCTTTGATAAAGTTCATCCAAAGATGTTAGAATCCATATAAATGAATTAAATTTACCTAACCCATTAGCTTAAGCTTTTGGGTTGAGTGGTGGTTTGTTCATTCTTAAGATGGTATCAGAGCGGGAGGTCCTATGTTCGAACCCCTGCATTGACGTTTCCTCCCCATTTATTATGATTTCCACTTGTTGGGTCTTGATGTTGTTTTCCAAGCCCACAAGTGAGGGGGAGTGTTAGAATCCATATAAATGAATTAAATTTATCCAACCCATTAGCTTAAGCTTTTGGGTTGAGTGGTGGTTTGTTCATTCTTAAGAAAAGAAGTCTTTTTTTCCTTTTAAAAATGGGTGGAATCGAGAACACTGGAGAGGAGAAGCATTGAGTCATTTGGTAGAGCCATGTACATCCAAAATTGGACCTAAGAAAATCCCAGAATCTTGCAGCATACTCACAGGTGATAAAGAACACCATTGTGGAGAGATACTCATGTAAGGCATCCTATGTTGGAGCTTGTCATGAGTGTTAATGGCTTTGTGGCTAATCTCTCAAAGAAAGAATTTGATGTTTTGTTTCTAATGTTCTTCATTTTTCAATCAGATTGTATTGCTCTTGAGCTCATCATTTACTTTGGTTTTTTATTTTTCTTTCTCTCCTATGGAGGTTTGTACCCTGAACAATTTTTTTTTTCATCTATCAATGAAAAGTTGTTTCTTGTTAAAAAAAAAAGTAGAAAGAAACTTCAAATTGAGAATATAATTGTTAGATCCTTATTTATGTGTTTTTGCCAAAAATACCAATAACTAAAATTCCTTTCAATTTCAGTTATGACTTCACTTCAGTATGCTGATTCTTCCATTTTTATGGTTTATTATTGAAAAGGAATAACTTGTTTGGTGAACTATTGCCTCTCTCTGGCGTAGATTCTTTCAAGGGAAAATGGGTTTGGTTATTTATGGAGCTGCTTTCTCCGCAAGTTCTTCTCAAGGAAGAGGAGTATTATCAAAGATTCTGATGTGATCTCTTTAGAAAATGCTAATGCTTCTGGAAAAGGCACCTTTGATCCTATTGTGGAGGCAATAAGTTTGGATATGAAGCAACAAGAGCTCGATGGCAGGTCATTTTCTTATATTATTGTTGGTATTTGCCTTTAATTTATTTCAGAATTTCTACTTAAACCATAACTTTATTTGTAGGTGCATCCAGATAAGAAATCTGCATAAAGTTTATGATACAAAGATGGGGAAATGCTGTGCTGTTGACTCTTTACAACTCACCCTCTATGAAAATCAGATTCTAGCTCTTTTAGGTTTGTTTCTTTAGTGCTTTCATTTATTGCTATTTTGCTTCCTTTTATTATGAGTTTGAATGCTAGGATCCCTAGATCATCATGTTGGCAGTTCGAGTCATTGTTATTATTTTTTTTTTCGGGCAACTGCCTGATCCTTCAACATTTCGTGCCGAGAAACACATAGGAATTAATTCCTAAGGTAGGTGGCCTCATGGGGTTTAAGTTCGAGTCATTATTAAGTTCCATTTTGTGTTGCAATGGAGTTTAACATTGAATACTCAAGGTTTACGTTTTACAATAAAAACAAATAACAAGCGGGAAAATAAATAGAAAACTTAACAAAAAGCTAAAGGAAAGAATTCTTGAAAGTTTAACAAGTGAACTACAAGTTGCATAACTAAAAGAAGCTAAAACAAAGCTTTAAATTGTCATGAAATGAGAGAAGAGGGCTGCTGCAGGTTGTTGTTGGAGAGGTTGAGAAGATTAAGGCTTTTCATTAGTTTTTAATCCCTTTGACTGACCAATTACAAATGAAATCTTATCTTCCCTTGCTGAGACGACATGTTGCACAGAAAGAATGTGTCAAAACACAATGAAACTCGCGTTTCATTAAAGGGTAGTTTCAAAAATTAAGGGAGGAGCGTGGAGCGTGGTTTAATAATTCTGCACAAAAACGTGTTATTTATTATTTTTTCAACTTTAATTGCCACCAAAAGCTGATATATATATGTTTATACTATGCTCAACTAATTTATGCACGGATTAGACAAACCAAACTTTTAACAAGCATTTCTAAGTAGAATAAAGCTAAAAGGAATTTGAATCTCAAATTCCTTTTCGCTTTATTCTACTTTGGTTGTTAAAAGTTTGATTCAAAACCCGAACCCTAACCGTAATCCCACCGTTGCTACCCGCCAACCTAACTAACCCTAACTCCGTTGTCTGTCGTCCACGTCCACCTTCGCCGTATGCTGCGGCCCTAACCTGAACCCTACCCTTCCATTTTTGCCTCTTCTCGTCGTGACCTAACTCGAAACCTAACTTCGCCTCGCCCGATCACGACCCTAACCCGAAACCTAAACCTATCTCTGTTGTTGCTGCTCACCAGCGAATCCTAACCCTAACTCTGCCTTTGGCGTTTGTCACCTTCGCTGCCTGTCGATGACGCTTTCTCCAATCGCTGCTGTCTGACGTATTTTTCCTCTGGAGTTTTTCTCGCCATCAGGGTAGTTTTGGATCAGTTGGTCTACCTTTTGGCTCTTTCGATTATGTTCTTCATCCTAGGGTTGTGTCTCCCTTCGTTGGATTGATTTTTTTCATTCAAGTTTGGATATGGACTTGAGAAGTTGCAGCATAGCAAACAATTAATATTAGATTTGGTGTGATGATGATTGTTTTTTGATCGACTCTATGAAGAATTTTTAGATTCCTCGAGTGGCTTGAGAAGGCTTTGGTTGAGTTGCTACACTTCCCACTTCATTCAAGGTTCCTTATGCAAGTCAGGGATGGGAACGAAACTTGTCGACTCCAGAAAAAGAGATTCTTGAATGGATGGTTTTTGGAATGTGTTGTTTGGCCCACATTGGGTGGAAGAAAATTCATATCAGTGCCTGCTAGCCTTAGGAAAAAAGGTTGGGAAACTTTCGGGGACATTCTAAAAGATTCCTTGGTGAACTCCAATGAGTAGCTATTGAAGGAGGCCACCAACTCTTCGTATGCAGAGAGGGTTAAGAACAGAGACATCATGATGCCATCCCCTGCCGTAGAGGATGAGATTTTTGAGGAAAATTGCCCTTTGGCCCATGCAACGAGACTTTGGAAAAGGGAGCAACTCTTCTTGGGTCCAAAAGAAACTCGAAGTCGTGGAAATAGATTGGGATAAGGCCATGGTTGTTTCAAGGTTTGTGCTCAGGATAGTTGGAAGGCAATTGCTGCTTCCCTAAAAAGTGTAAGTCAACTCCTCCTTGACAGATAAGGCTTTATTTAGATTTTAAAGTGGAAGACCCTTTAACTCTGATTGGCTCAATACGGCTTTCTGGATGTAGATGATGATATTGCAAATGGCTCAAGTTAAGTGGAAGGCCCTTTAACTGTGATCGAAGAGCTTCTCGATGAGTTACATGAGACTCATATATACTTGAAGATTGATCTAAAGTTCGGCTACCACTAGATTCGTATGTCTGAAACGGATGTAGCCCAGCTAGCTTTCAAAACACAAGGAGGACATTATGAGTTTCTTGTGATGCCCTTTCGGCTCACCAATGCACCAGCCGCATTTCAAGCTCTCATGAATTGCAGCCTCAATTTGGAGTCCCATATTCGCCACCTCATCGTGTTCTTCAATGTGCTAAGGGATCATTCGTTGTTTGCAAATTTTAAGAACTGTTAGTTCGCCCAAGGATCAAATTAAGTATTTGGGGCACTGAGTATCAGCGAAGGGAGTGATTGGGAGAAAGTGATGGCAATGCTTCAACGGTATCAACCAACGAATATCAAAGAACTCAGGGTACTACGCCGATTTGTGGAGAACATAACTATGGAACTCTAGCATCCCCCTAATTCAATTACTCAAGGATGCCTTTACATTACAGGCAAATGTCATCAATAATGTAATGTTAAAAAAAATTACAAAAATATAGTAGGTTTCAATTTAAATATAAAAAAGGTAAATTGAATAAAAAATTTGAAAATTAGGGTAGGAGTGGTCAAAGTATAAAATCGCATACATCATATACGATTTATGATGCCACATATGGCCACGTGTGGAGGTGCTCGAAGATAAGATTGAGATCCAACCAAACTCCTATCCTTTTTCTCCTCTAAAATATGGAAGAAAATGAGAATCAAAATGGGGAGAAATCTCTTCGCACTTCTAGAAATTTCATTGATGCTGAAAAGCCAAGAAACCTTCGTTTCCTCTCTCTTAACTCCTTATCAAATTGATTTGAAGATAGGATGGTTGAATTTTAATTTTCTCCCATTTTTATCGTATTTGACTTCTGTATAAATTCGCAAGGTGTATATATTATTTTCGCATAATCACAAAATTTATGCAGGCATTATAAAATAAATTAAAAGTAGGTAAATCGACCTGTTTTTTAAAAACCTCTATTTCTATATATTTTTCTAATACATTATTTAAAAGAAAATCCAAACATTGTAAGATATAACTAAACGACATCGGCCGCCTATAAATCCCATCCAATTTTAGCCCCTTCTTTCATGCACTCTTCCTCCCGTAATTTTAGGTGTCATACCAAAAAATAAAAAAATAATAAAAGCAGGTGACACAATTTACGTTCCCTACAAGTGACTCTTCTTGGTTACCAGGTGCTTGAAATCGTGCCCAATGCGTGTGATTTATGCCAAAATCGCATCCAATGTACGTGATTTAGGACAAAATTGCATTTACCGTACGCGATTCACTTTAAATCGTGTCCATCATATGCGATTTAGCTACCCCACATAAGAAAATAGTTTCAAAACTACCTTGTTTCTGTATATATATATTTTCAAAACATAATTTTTTGAAAAAATCCTTACAATACATGCTAATGAATAATACAACAAATTCAAAATAACCTAACTAACTCTAACAACTTCTATATACATGTTAACAACTTATATACATATTTCCGTACGTTCCAACAATTATGTTGGCTATCCAAGGACTCTAAATGCACCCAAAATCATAATTTTGGTTGTTATAATACTTGGCAGTACTCTTCCGCCGCGACGTCCTCCTATCCTAAGCCGTCGCCAACACCCTCCTAACCAGCTCACCGTCCTTTTTGGCTGCTTTCAAATGGATTGGAGAAATTGCAGCAATCGAAACAGTTACTACTGGGTTGTCCTTTGTATTCAAGATTTTTCATGCAAGTTTGAGATGGGAACAGAACCTGTCGACTCCAGAAAAAAGACTCTTGAAAGGCTGGTTTTTGGAATGGGTTGTTTGGCCCTCTTCGGGTGGAAGAAAATTCATAATTGTACCTGCAGGGATTAGAAAGATCGGTTGGGTAATCTTTTGGGACTTGATAAAAGACTCATTGGTGAATTTCAAAGGGAAGGTATTGCAGGGCGTCTCAAACTTTTCTTTTGCTGAGAGGGCTAAAAGCAGAGATAGTATGATGGCATCCCCTACCGCAGAGGATGAGGTTTTCGAGGAAAAAAAAAGGGAGTAACTCTTATTGCGTTCAAAAGGAACATGAAGTTGTGGAAATAGATTGGGATAATGCATGATTATCTCAAGGTTTTGTGCTCAGGATAGCTGGAAGGCAATCGCTGCCTCCCTCAAAAGTTTCTTCTCGAAAAATTGCCAAATTAACCATTTCTTAGCAGATAAGGCTTTATTTAGATTCGAAAGTGGAAGATCCTTGAACTCTAATTGACTCAATGGTAAATGGCGCAAGTTAGATGGATTTCACGTGAAGTTGGAGAAGTGGGATCTTGAAAAGCATGGCAAGAATGAAATGACAGTTTGTTTTGGTGGCTGGGTGAAAATCTGCGACTTACCTTTAGAGTTTTGGAACACAAATTGCTTCAAGGCCATTGGAACCCATCTTGGAGGTTTGAAGAAAATCTCTTCAGCAACACTAAATCTGTTAGATTGTTCAGCAGCTTTCATTCAAGTAGAGAATAATGATTGCAGCTTTATTCCGGCTTCTATCGAGATAACTACGAAACGCGGAGTGTTTGTGGTAAACGTGGTTGCCTTAAATGAAGCTATCAAGCCGTCTTTTCCCTCCGTTCAGCTTTCAAAGACTTCATTGATTGCAGATTCTTCAAATCCTTTCAAATCCTTTGGATATCCAAAGATTTCAAGAAGTCTGGGCAGACGAAGAGTTTCAATTTGACAATGTTTCTAATAAGGTTAGCTTGGAAAAGCATATTGCAATTGTCCCCTCGTCTACTCAAAACGCACCAGTTGGCCCAAACAATGTGCCGAGTCAGTTGAGCACCCCTATGGTCAGAAAAGAAGTGGCCATTGGTCAAGAAGTGGGCATTATTGGCCCTACTGTTTTTCAAGAGCTAAATGTAGAAGCTTTTTTGAACCAAAAGCCAAAGGGCAACCCGTTTCCATCGAGTATGAAGAATACTGAACGATTAATTCAACCCCTTCCTTTTTACTAGTCTCGTAGAAAACCTATTACTAATTTTGGAAACGAGCTTGCAAAGCCCTCAGTAGCTGAAGGGGTTCAAGTTAACCTTAATAAGGCTTTCTTTGAGGAACGAGAAGTAGTTAGTAAAGATTGTTCGGCTAAGGTAAATGTTTTGTCCATTGGCACTATCCACTCCACTAACGAAGGTTTGCCTCTTAGATCATCTTCCATAGGATTCTCGGATAATGATTTTGAAGATGAGGATGGCGCAATCAGTATTAGTAGTTTAAACTCTTCTCCAAAGTCAGACATCCCAATCGAGGACTTTTGTGAGCATTCCTATGCGGACGATTTTCAATCCTTATTTAACAAGCAAAAAGAAGATGAGAAACCTGTTCTCCCACAGCAAACAACCTTTCTTTCCTTTTTTGAAGAAATGGGGATTACCCTTGTCCCATTTGAATCTGTTTTCTGAGTTTTAAGTTGTTCGAAATGTTGGAATGTTCTCAATTATGCCTTCTGCAGATTTTAAAGCTTTGCAGTTTTAGTTCGGTTGGTTGGTTGATGAGGTTTTCAAAGTCTTTCTCCAGTGTGTGGTTTGACATTTAGTGGTTTATATATGAAGGCTTTTTGATAGGGAGATCGGGTTGAGAAGGAATCTTTTTGATAGGGAGATCGATAGATGGGCTTCTTTCAAATTAGGAGGTATGGTTCCGGGCCAAGGCAAGGATCGTTTATGGTGGAAGGCTGATAGTAAAGGTCGTTTTACAGCGAAATCAGCTTTTATAGCTTTAACGGCTCCCTCCCCTAAATTGAACACGACCACAGCTTCTATGATATAAAATTTTAGGGTTCCAAAAAAGGTGAAATTTTTCCTATGGACTCTCTTTTATAGGAGCACAAACACAGCCGAGAGAATACAAAGAAAGCTCCCCCATTGGACGCTCTACCCTTCAGTTTGTGGTCTCTGCCTAAGAAATTCAGATTCGGTGGATCGTATTTTCATCCACTGTTTTTTTGCCACTCAGGCTTGGAACTATATGGCTTCGCTTTTGGATTTCTCCTTCTGTCTTCCTAAACATATAGATGACTTCATAGCGGAAGGATTTGGTGGGGTGGCGCTCAAAGGCAAAGCTGCGATCCTATGGCAGTGTGCAGCGAGGGCTCTCCTTTGGCATCTTTGGAAAGAGAGAAATAGTAGACTTTTTTAGGACAAATCTGTCCCTTTAGATTCTTTTTGTGTGAATACAAAGCATACAGTCTTGGTGGGCCACAATCCACAAGAAGGCTTTTGGAAACTACAGTCTTTTTTTAATTTCACAGGATGGAAGAATGCGATTGTATAGTTCTCTTTGGGGAGGGTTCTCTCTACCCTCCGCCATTAGGTTGTTCTCGCCTTTTTGGGCTCTTTTGATTTGAATGCATTCTCTTTGTTTCTTATAAAAAATATATATATATATATATGAAGGCTTTTTGAAGACAGCATTGAGGCTTTGTATTTGGTGTTTTCTCCTTATTAGCATTTCGGCTGCGGTCTATTCTTGTGACCTACTACTTGGTTATTTTTGGAGTTTGGTCTTCGTTCTTGGTGCTAAGGAAGGTTTTTCCCTCATGCGGTTGTGTCCCTGGGTTTAGTTTGTTTTCCCAAGGTTGGCAGCAAACAGTTTTTCTGATTTCTGTTTTAGAATGCTTTTACCTCTTTTGAGCTTGTATTGCTCTTGTTGCGATATTTTTTTGTTATTTTTCTATTCTTCTCTCTTTCCTTTTCTTTTTTCACCCCCTTGGGGTTTTGTGCCTCGAACATTTTTCCTTTTCATATATCAATGAAACGTTGTTTCTTGTTAAAAGAAAAATACTTGACAGTACTGTTTTTCATGTTTTCAAAGCATGAGGAGCATGAAAGCCCTATAGTTCTATTAGGTTCAAGTGTGAAGCACAAAGGAGAGCGAGGGCTTCTTTTTTAAGTGCACACCTATAAAATGTAATAAATTTTTTGTATATGAAAAAATATATTATTTTTTCTTTTTGAACAAGAAACAACTTTTCATTGATATATGAAAAGGAGAAAAAGTTCAAGAATACAAACTCCAAGAGGAGTGAGAGGAAAAAAGAAAAGACAAACATAGAATAGGCTCAACAGGAGTATTAAGAATAATAAAATCCAACGATAATATCGAGCTAACTACAAAACAAAACTATCCACCAAGATGTGAGGACTCAATCAGAAGATTCTTTTAGCTTCGGAATCGCCAACGTTATCTCCCGTAGATAGATCTTTGAGTTTCTGAGAGAACTTGACATGAATCTCAGCTAATTCTCGAGCTTGAGCAACTTCTATCTCCAACCTTCTTCTAGAAAAAACTTCAAACATCAAAGCCCATTCATTGTGAGGGAAGATCCATACTACCAAGGTAACCTTTCAAGAGAAAAATTTCAAATAAAGATGATCCACCATAAATAAATAAATCAAGTAATCTGACTTTTCATTTTCTCAAGCTATTGAATAAAAACGAAGCATCAGCCAAAAAGACATGATTCTGCTTTGAGAAAAAAAAATATTATTACAAACAGTGTGTTAAGGTATCTATAAAATAATAAAGTTACTGTAAGCCATTAGCACCGGATGGTATTAGAATAGGAAGTCCTATGTTCGGACCATTGTAATATCATTTTCTCTCCATTTAATGTTGATTACTACTTGTTGGACCTTGCAAATTTGTAAACCCACAAGTGAGGGAGAGTATTAAGGTATCTATAAAATAGTTTGGTGTAACCCATCAACTTAAGCTTTTAGAATGATGTGTGATTTAACAGTAAGATAATGAAAACTTAAGAAATTAGACCTTTTGTAAGATATTGTCGGAAGAAATGAACATTTTAAAAGATTTTTCATAGTTTCTTTATAAATATTTTAAAATTTACGAAAAGGGATACAGGCGAAGCAAGGTAGTTTTATGGTGCTTAGGTACCTTTATAATGCTTTTCTAGGAAGCGTGCTTTTCAAAATACGTATTAAATATATAAGAAAATAGTAGACAATAGTGCTCATATAATTTATTTTAGTGAATAAGATCTCTGAATTGTATTTTTTATTTTTCAGGACATAATGGGGCTGGAAAAAGTACGACAATATCTATGCTCGTTGGCCTTCTTCCTCCTACTGCTGGGGATGCTTTGGTGCTGGGCAAGAATATCATAACAGATATGGTAAATATTGTTTTTCGCAGTCAAGTTCCCCTTATGAACATTTTCTACCTCATCCTACGTTTGTGTCCATTTGTAACTTTCATTATTACTCTTTGTAAGAATATTACCGTTGCTAATTTTCTTCAAGACTATAAAAAACAGTAGTGTTGAACAAGATAGGAACTTCTCATCGAAATAATGAAAAGATACAAAATTGTTTAAAAGAAACAAACTTCCATGAACTTCTTTGATATAATGAAAGGATACAAAAATGTTCAAAAGAAACAAACCCCCAAATGGAGTGAAAAACAGCAATAATAAAAAATAACTGCACGCTAATGATCGTGAATAAAAGCCTCCCAAAGAAAACAAATATAACTAGGAAAGAGAAAACAAAGTGGATAGAGAGAAAAAAAAGCATTTATCTAAAATGATGCACACTTGCACACAGAATTTAAGAAAACCTCAAATCTGATTTTATTCATCATAGGGATTCTATTTATAGAGGGTTATGAACTTAACAAGCTAACTAGTAACTTCAAGTTACCATACAGTAAATGAGTAGCTTTTAAAAAGATCTCAAACGGGAGCTACAAGCAATGTTTAAAGACTTAACAACCAACTAAGGCTATATATGGCTACATCAATTTCTCCCACCCAAAAAAAAACAATTCGCCCTCGAGTTATACGGCCAAAGAAAATTCATTAGGAGCGTAAAATGGGTAAATGTCTGCTACATTGAAGACTGGGCTGATATTATAATAGGCTGGAAGGTCAATCTTGTAGGCATTTGCTCCAAACCGTTCAAGTATTGAAAAAGGACCAAGCTTCCGTTTCTTTAGCTTATTGTAGGTGCTAACCGGAAATCTACTTTTACTTGATGAATCATAATGAGATCCCCAACTTGGAATTCCTTGAATCTTCCCTTCTTATCAGCCACTGCCTTGTACTTTGCATTAGATAGTTTCAGGTGGTGACGGACTTCCTTATGCAATTTGGTAATCCTTGTTGCCATTTCTTCTACTTCCAGACTAAGATCAACAGATACAGGAGGTTAGTGAGATCTTTAGTTAGTCGGGGAAGTTCAGTATAAACTACCTCAAATGGGGACTTCCCTGTTGTTCTGTTTCGCATGTGATTAAAAGCAAATTTTGCTTGAGCTAAGACCATATCCCATTGTTTTGGACAATCTCCACTAATGCAGCGAAGTAAATTCCCCAATGAACGGTTTGTAACTTTCGTTTGGCCATCCGTTTGTGGATGGCTTGTGGTGTTGAATTTTAGTGTAATATAAAATTTCTTCCATGGGGTTCGCCAAAAATGGCTAAAACTTTAAATCTCGATCGAAGACAATTGATTTTGGAGTACCATGAAGGCGAACTATCTCTCGAAAGAATAAAGTAGCTATAGAAATTGCATCCGAAGTCTTTTTACAGGCCACGAAATGGGCCATTTTACTAAATCTATCAGCAACAACCATGATTGAGTCAAAACCCTTTTGAGTCTTACCAGTGTTTTTGAGGCCCAAGGCGCACCGCAAGGCGACAAACCCTTTGATCGCCTTGAGGCGAGAGGCGATACAAAGGCGACGCCCGATTGAAGCAAGGCGCACCTTAATAAATAAGTAAAAATTATACATATAGTGCTTAAATTACCTTAAAAAAATCAATACCAAAATAGTAAATGTCAACAATACAAAAAATCAATACCAAAATATCAAAAATACTTTAGGTGAAAATATTTGGTGCAAATAAATTTTAACTTAAATAATTAAGAAAAATTAAAAATATAAATTTAAAAAGAAATTAATAAAATTAGTGGTTAAGTAGAATACTAAAATTAAATCATAAATTAACTTAAATAAAAAAAAATTATTGCCATCTTTCCCTTTTGCTTCCAGATGGCAAGATAAAATTGCATGTAATTAATGTGCATGCCTTGAAAACGTAAAAGGAATAGGAAAAGTCTCAACCAAGCATCAAATCCCCATATCTTTTAATCTATTTTTCAATTCTTCTTCTACTTCTACTTTTCCAATTCCTCTTCTTCTTCATCTCTAATTCTTCTTTCATGATTCTTTTTCTTCATCTCTAATTCTTCCTTTCCGAGCACCTACGTTGCCCTGAATACACATTCATAGGTGAAACTAAATATTTTGATTGTCTACGAAGAAGGAGAAGGAAGGCATGATGGCTTTCATATCGTGCAATGAGTGGGGGCAAAGGCGGTAGCAATGGCAGCATCAAAGGAAGAAGCGGCGGTGAAAGAGGAAGACTTTTGTGTGGGTTTGCATCTTTTTGGGGCTTCTTTTGTGGGTTTTTTAAAATTATAACAAAAAAAAAAGGAGTCGCCTCGCTTCAAAGAGGCGCTCGCCTCATCTTATAGCGATGGCACCAAGGCGCAGCAAGGCGCACAAAGGCGAGCGCCCGACTGAAGGCGCTCGCCTCAGCGCCGTTCAAGGCGCGTCCAGGCCAAAACGCCTCGCCCCTCGCCTTAGGCGAGCGCTTGGGCGCTCCTCGAAAACACTGAGTCTTAGTGATGTAATCCAATTGGAAAGAAAGAAGTTTATTTCATAATGTCCTCAAAGATACATAAGATCCTAGTATTTATAGATAGCTAGGATACGGCTAACTAACTTCTAACAACCTTAGGAGCTAAACTAACTTCCATTAAAGGTTAGTTACATCAATTTCCCCCCTCTCAAAAAGAAACTCGTCCTCGAGTTATGCAGCCAAAGTGAAAGAATCTGGTGGATCATAAGGATAAATGTCCGAAACATTGAAGATGGGACTTATGTTGAACTCTGGAGGGAGTTTGATTTTGTAAGCATTGTGTCCGTACTTTTGTAAAATTTTAAAGGGACCAAACTTCTTCTGTTGTAGCTTATGGACGGATTCAGTTGGTAATCTTCCTTTGGATAAGTGTATCATAACAAGATCTTCTTCTTTGAATTCTGTTGCTCTTCTCTTGCTGTCCGCTTTTGCTTTATATTTGGCATTAGCTTCCTCGATGTGATTGAAGACATCTTGATGTAATTTTGTCATTTGCTCTGCCATTTGTTCGGCTTCTAAGCTAAAATCGACAGTAGAAGGAATATTAGCCAAGTCCACAGTTAAACGAGGAAGTTTCGTATAAACAACTTAAAAGGGAGACTTCCCTGTAGATCTATTCTTCATATGATTAAATGCGAATTCTGCTTGTGCTAATGCCAAGTCCCATTGCTTAGGTTTGTCGTTACATAGACATCGAATGAGATTGCTAAGAGTTCTATTGGTCACCTCCATTTGTCCGTCCGTCTGAGGATGGTTGGTGGTGCTATACTTAAGAGATGTATCAAATTTTTTCCAAAGGGTTTTCCAAAAGTGGCTCAAAAGTTTGACATCTCTATCGGAGACGATTGATTTTGGAATGCCATGTAAGCGAACTATCTCCCTGAAAAATAGGTTAGCCACATGGACAGCATCTGAAGTTTTTTTACAAGCTAGAAAGTTATTCATTTTGCTAAACCAGTCAACCACAACAAACACAAAGTCATATCCTCTTTGGATCTTAGGTAATCCTAACACAAAATCCATAGACAAATCTTCCCAAATTGTACATGGTGTGGGTAGAGGTATATATAAACCTGTGTTTTGCTTTTGACCTTTATTAGTTTGACAGATGTAACACTTGGAAACATAGCTAAAAACATCTTTTCGAAGCTGAGGCCAAAAAACCCGAGTTGCTACAAGGGTTAGTGTCTTGTCTCTGCCAAAATGACCGGCTAGGCCGCCTGAATGAAGATCTCTAATTACGGCTTCTCTTAAACATGTGTGGGGAAGACGTAAAGTGTCTCCTTTAAAGAGGTACCCATTCAGTAAATGGAAATCTGCTGTATGGTTGTGATCAACACATTTAGTCCAAATAGCATGAAAATCAGGATCATTTGTATAGGGTGTAGGTATATCCGAAAAGGCTGTAATCTCTCCTTGGAGAATAGTTTGCAGGGCTCCTTTTTCTACTAAGAGCATCGGCAGCTTTATTTATTGTTCTGTTTTTAAGTTTTATAACAAAATCAAAGTGTTGAAGAAATGAGAGCCAACGTGCGTGCATGCGGCAAATGGATTTTTGTGTATGCAGAAATTTAAGAGAGAAGTGATCTGTGAAAAGGATGAATTCTTGACTTAATAAGTAGTGTTCCCATTGTTTTAGGGCCCTAACAAGGGCATACAATTCCTGCTTGTATGTGCTTCACTTTTGGCAAGAGAGGCTAAGTTTTTCGCTGAAATACTCAATAGGGTGTTGGTTTTGTGATAGGACAGCACCAATTCCGATGCCAGATGCATCTACAGCGACCTCAAATGGTAGGGTGAAATCAGGGAGGCATAATACCGGGTTTTGGGTGAGTCTAGTTTTTAAGGTTTTAAAGCTATCCTGCTGATTTTTTCCCCAATGAAAGTTCCCTTTTCTTAGGCAATCAGTTAAAGGTCTGACTATAGTACTAAAGTCTTTTATTTTTCCTTTAACTCCGAGATGTTTTAGGACCCTCTCATCCTCCATTTTTAATTGGCCTTATCGGCCATAAAGGATTAACAAGACAATCAACCTCAAAGTGGTTTTTCAAAGTAGTAGCTATCTCCTCCCAATTATCATGAGCTTTAAGTCTATACCATCAAAGAATTGCAGTCCGTTTCGACCACATCCCTTTCTTTTTTAACTCAAAAGCTTTGATGAACATCTATTTGGACTGAGGGAGCAGATACACCTACCAAATCAAACGACTTTTGAGAACTCTCCAAGGCCATAGAAAACTGAAAATCGGACTTGCGCAGGAAATCAGCCTTATTTTGTGAGAGAGAGATAGAATCCTTCATCATTTCCCAAAAGACTAGCCATCCTCTTTTCTTTTGTCCAGTAGGGACCACTATTCTTCCTCTCATGCCTGATTTAGGGATCAAAATGCGATCAAAGCAACAACTTCCTTGTTAAAACTCTTCATAAGTCTACAAATACTGAACTCTCCTTTTGCTTGTCTGAAAAAATTAGCACTCAATGGATGTTGCATCAAATCCACAATAGCCTCTTCAAGCCAAATGAGCTGCTTCTTGTGGAATGAAATATAAAACTGCCGATTATCAAAAAACTAGTCCAACTTGAAAAAATCGTTAAGCAAAGAATGATGAAGAAAGACTTGTTTGCAACTCGACTACTCCTTGAATCCATGCTGAAGAACTTACTGCAAACTAAAACTCAAAGATTTCACCGTCAAAGCAAACCAACGGAGACGAATCGCCTAGGATTGGATATGTTTTTTTTAAACAAAAAAACTAGAAACGAACTTCTCATTGATAAAATAAAAAGATACAAATGCTCAAAAGACACAAACAGCCGAAGGAGTGAAAAAAAAAAAGAAGACAGAAAGTTAACGATGGTGAATAAAAGCCTCCTAGTTCATATAAATGTGGCTAGGCGAGTAAACAGAAAACATAAAAGAGAGAGAATTCCAAGAAGAAGCTTTGAATATAGCTAATTCATAACGCTTAACCCAGGATCTTCTCTTGATTCAAAGAATCTTGTGAATCAAAGAATCTTTCAGTCTTCTTCCTCATGATTTTTCTTTCATTTTAAGGCTTTGTTGTAATTTTTTTAATGTCATAATGTTGTTGACATTTATGTGCATCATGTATTTTTTCTAATTTTGAAACTTATTTCTATTGAATTGTTTTGTAGGAAGAAATACGGAAAGGGTTGGGTGTGTGTCCCCAGAAGGATATTCTCTTCCCAGAGCTGACTGTAAGCAAAATTAGTTTATTCCTTTTGTCACTACTAATATTCAAAAGATTATTATTATTTTTATTATAATGGCATTGGATAAACTATGTCTAGTTGAGTCACTCTTAAGATAATAAAGTTTCCTACTAACCTCTTATACCTTTATCCCGAGGATCTATTAGAAGACCATCTTGTGATATTAATATTGCCACCAATGCAGCAATAATTTTCACATTATGCAATTCCGCCCGTAGGTGGTTAATCTTTTGGGCCATAAACATTTGCTAACCAATCGTGACTAAAATTTGAGAAAGAGATTAAGATGGATAAAGAGTAGAATTTCCTTAATGTTAGAATACTTATATCTCATATTATTGTAATAGTCTTTATTATTTTGTCATTTATCATCCTTTTACATTCTTTACTTAGGTCAATGTTGTATATTTGTCGATATATGTTCTTCTGTGAATGATAATGGATTGATTTGATTCTTTCCAACCTTAGTCTCTACATAGTATCGGAGCCCTAGGTCTTTTCCTAAAATTTTTCTGTGAACCTTAGGGTTTTGTGCCCATTAGGGTTTGAAGCTTGGAACACTTTCTTTCAAGTGTTGGTTAGTCTCTAACTCGCTGCAGTACCATCATCCTCTGCCACTGTTGCGTTTGGATTCGAGTTCGTCATTTGCGGGTGTCTTGTGTGGTTGGTATCTGTTTTTAGTTCGTGAGTTGTGGGTTTTTGTCTTTGCTTACTGTACTTCGTCTTTTGTTGCTACCCTTTGTCGTCAGCTGACACACTTTCGTTGTGAGTTTCATTCACAACTGCTAGGACTTCTCAAATCAAAAACTTTGCTTGGGTCGGTTCAGTTTGTTCTAGTTGATTCAGTTCATTCGCTTCAGTCTATTTGGTATTTTGGTTCGGTTACATAGGTTCGGTCTTTCGATTCGTTTTTTCCCCTCTAAATTTGGTTTGGTCTAGCTCAGTGCAGTTTTCTATGTCCATTGTTGAAGTTATGGTCTTGTAACTTTGTTACGTTCTTTGAAGATACTTCTTTTTCATCATCTTTGAGTGATAGTCAGGGAGAGCATCCAAAGGGGATGATGACTTCCTTGTCCATTATTATACTGAAGTCCCTTCTAGCGATACATCTTCATTTGTGCCTGCTCCTCTCCCACCTATTACTTAGGTTTATTCTCGATGGCAACCTCCTTTGGTCACATGTCCCATACCAGCAGTTTCTTCGTCATTGGATTTAGAAATGAGTGATGATCTTGTCATTGCTCTCCCAAAAGGTGAACGCCAGTGTACTTATCCTTTTTCTTCTTTTGTTTCATATAACCATTTGTGCTCCCCTACTTGTTCATTTATTGCATCTCTCGAGTCTTTATCCATTCCTAAAATTGTGTGTGAAGCTTTGTCTCATTTTGGTTGGAATGCTGCTATGTTGGAGGAGAATTGTTTGTGAAGCTTTGTCTCATTTTGGTTGGAATGCTTCTATGTCGGAGGAGATGGCTGCCTTAGATGACAATGGTACTTGGGATTTAGTTTCCTTTCCTGCAATTTAGTTTCCCTCCCTACAAGAAATAAGGTGTTTACTACCATCTAGCATTTTGCTACTAGATGGCAATTGCATGTGAGTATTTTGGCCCTAGCTTGAAAATGTAAAAAAATAAAAAAAAATATAAAGAGAAAGGTTGAAGCAGCAGATACTAGGAGATGTAGGTTTGTCGATTCTTCTTCTACTTCAAGAAAAGAGAAAGGTTGAACTGCACATATGAGGAGTTGCAAGTTTGTCGATTCTTCTTCTACTTCTTCTACTTCCTCGATTCTTCTTCTCTTCTTCAAATTTTGATTCTTCTATTGTTTGGTTCTTCTTCTCAATTAAAGAATCGTTTAAAGAATAATGGAAGAACTTAAGAAGAATCGAAGTAAAACATGAGAAGAATCGAACGAAACATCCGACTTTTTGCCCACCTTCAACCAAGCGCTTTCCTCGCCTTATGGTGATGGTGTGCCAAGGTGAGGAATGACGTGCGAAGGCAAGCGCCCGATTGAAGACGCTCGCTAGGGCGGTGTTCAAGGCGCAAAAGGCCCAAAACACCTCGCCCCTCACCATAGGCGAGCGCTTGGTTGCGCCTTGAAAACACTGGCCGAACTAACATCAATATATATCTCTACCTACCCGTCTTTAGATGACTTGTTGATAGAGTATGCAATGTTTGGTCTAATGTGTGATAGATAGTGTTTAATTATACTGTATAGTTTCTTTATTTGAAATTAGTTCCTAACTGGTAAGTGTTTTCTTGTATGCTATTTTCCTTTTTGGTTTTTTTTTTTTTTGTTCAGTACTTGCTATTTTAGACCATCCTTGTATCCATCCTTTGTAATAAAGAAAGAATTATTTTCTTGACATTGACGGAAACTTCCCGACAAGTCTTTGATTCATACCTTTGTCAATTGCAATAACCTCTTCACTTCGGTATTGGACTAGATTGCTGCACCAAAAATTTACCGGTCTTCTTTAGCAGGTCTTGAATGTACTTTTAGATGTTTGACAAAATTGAGGTATGGGTAGAGGTTATCCTTTAGAGGTGTAGAAGTAAAACATCATTTAACAAATTTGAATACATCCTCTCTGAGCCAAGGCCAAAAAGTTTTACAGGAAAGAAGTTCTAGTGTCTTATCTCTACCGAAGTGGCCAGCTAACCCAATATTCATCTAACGGCTAGGAATATAACTGGTTAGAACTTACATAACATTCCAATTAACCAGTTATTAATATCTTGGAGACTAATATTACATCATGTCTATACATGTATCACGGTCTCTGTGCATGTACAACTAGTTTTCAATCTGTATTTCCCTAATTAATGCTATTATATCTTTGATAGGGTTCCAAGTTTTAGTTGTCTTGTCTCACCCTGACGATTTAGTTTGATAATTGGTATTATATTAGTTTTGTTGGTTGCCCCTCATTTCATTACTTCATCCAGGTACGAGAACATTTGGAAATATTTGCTACATTGAAAGGAGTGAAAGAAGACTTTCTGGAGAGGACTGTTGTTGATATGGTGAATGAAGTAAGAACTTAAGTGTGCTTGAACAGGCTTCTATCGGAATAGCATACATGTTCTCTAGTTTTGTTGCCTTTGATGAAAACGACTATGGAATTTTTGTGCAAGATTTGACCAGTAAATTCTGCTACTATTTTTCCTATCGTAGTTGAGAATATAAACTGTTTTGATACGTTCTTAAATTATGCATTGTTGATATAATCAGTTTGATATACATGGTAACTTCTATAAACTTTGAAAAGTTAGCATAAAAAAGAAGGAACATTCTTATGCTTGTTTAAGAGATTGTTCTCAAAACAGTTTTCTACTTTTGTTTCCAGAATTATTTTTGAATTATTTTTAAGAACTATGATGACTTGACTTGTAAAATTATAATTATCTTACATTTGAAATTACTATCAACCACTGATGAAGGATTCCTCAAAAAGTTAAGGATTAGTAATCCTTTTCTGGATTGACAAGTACAATATCTTATAGGAAGGACACCAGGCCTTACTATCCTTTTTTCTTTTCTTTTTTTCTTTTAAAATTTAAAATTAATATTTCATTAATCAAAACTAGAGGATTGAGTCTCCTCTCCATACCATTCTCCTTTATTAGCTACAAAAATCTCAAGCTTTTCTTTTTTTTCTTTTTTTTCTTTTTTTTTTCTTTGCAAGAAACAAAAGAATATATGGAACTGTGGGAGAACATCCTAAGGACAAAAGGATGAGAAATCCTCTTTCCAAAAGAGCTACATAAGTACAGCTTTTCAATCTCTATTGATCATAGATAAACTAGAATTACAAAAAAAATTTTGGTCGTTTAAACACCACTTAGAAGCAGTAATTTGAACACTATTACAAAAAATCTCAAAGGAGTGAATTTGATTGTTGAAGATACGAATATTTTTCTCTTGCGACAAACACCAAAAAGGGGCTCTAGCTGCACTACTCCATAAAAGTTCCAATTTTTCCTTTAATCTGCCAACCTTGAAACACCTCAAGAAGCCACTCATCGAATGTTCTGGGAAGACACGAGGCTAAACCCACCTCTTTCATAAAAGAAGACCAGCTTTTTGTGTTTGTAGAATTTTAACTCATTATTGAATCTAGAGGCCTGATATTTTTCTTCTTTTCATTTATCATAATATATAAGAGGATAAATAAAGATCAGATGATGAATTCATTTTGTTAAAGATGAACAAACCACCACTCAACCCAAAAACTTAAGCAGTTGGGTAAATTTAATTCATTTATGAGTATCTCAACACTCCCCCTCACTTGTGGGCTTGTAAAATTGTAACAAGACCCAACAAATGGAAATTATAATAAATGGGGAGGAAACAACAACAACACAGGGGTTCGAACACAGACCTCCCACTCTGATACTATGTTAAAGATGAACAAATCACCACTCAACCCAAAAGCTTAAGCTAATGGGTTGGGTAAATTTAATTCACTTATGAGTATCTCAACACATTTACTAGTGAGATATTATTTTTGTTGTCTCTTAATGTACACTGCAAATCTTTCCTACTGTTGATGCTCAAAATATTCAGCCTTTTTCCTCTATGTATTCTTGGTCCACTGGGGGTTACTACAGTTTGTAAGTTCAAGTGTGCAATTATTTCTATCCTTATGGCAGGTTGGCCTGGCCGATAAAATTAACACTCCTGTGAAGGCTCTTTCTGGTGGCATGAAAAGGAAACTGTCCCTAGGAATTGCGTTGATAGGGAACAGCAAGGTGGTCAAATAAAGCTAAGCTACGTTCTCAATAATTCCTACGTGTTTAATATTTTAGTGTTACAGGTTATTGTTCTTGATGAGCCTACTAGTGGAATGGATCCATACTCAATGCGCTTGACGTGGCAATTAATTAAAAAGATAAAAAAGGGTAGGATCATATTGCTGACAACACACTCAATGGATGAAGCTGATGAACTGGGAGATCGGATAGCAATTATGGCTAATGGATCTCTGAAATGTTGTGGAAGGTATAACCTCTGGTAGTACAGTTTTTTCTTCCTTTTTTTTGTTTTTTTCCTGTATTTGCTATTTATACTGGCCTTTTATCCATCCTTTTGCAAGTAAGCAAGAATTATTTTCTTATCATTGACAGGCTGCAGGATCACTATGTATGTTATCCGCCCATTTAAGCAAATGGTCTTAAGTAGCCAAGATATTCTAGTTAAATTAAATATGAAATAAATAGTATCATATTCTCCATCCTTCCTTCCTTTATAGTTATCTTCTACTCTTTCCTTATAAAATATATAACAATTGTGCTTTTCATATAAGAAAGAGTCCAACTATAAATTATTAAGGTCTGGGTGGAATCAATTATTGACTTGTCAAAATTTTCACAACTATTTATTAATTTATATTTTATGCATTTTATTTCCCTTTTTTTTTTGACAGTTCTCTTTTCTTAAAGCATCAGTACGGAGTTGGTTATACTCTTACTTTAGTGAAGGTAAAGGTTTTCTCCTACTTTTGATTTCTCTTTGTGATCTTACTGAATGATGGTCTCAATATTTTGTAATCTTTGGCTCTTATTTCTTGTCACAATGCCTCCTTTCAGTCTGCACCTACTGTCTCTGTTGCTGCAGATATCATCTATCGTCATATTCCATCAGCAGTATGCGTGAGTGAGGTAGTCAATTCACCTGTTATTCATTTCTTTCCATTCAATTATTAACAAGGATGTAGATTCACCATTAGCTTATTTTTTGTGATCACCCACAACTTGCTGTTGCTTGAAGAACATCTTAAGTGTTCACAATCAAAGCTTTTACATGAGCTATAGTGACAGTTACGTCTCGAGGCTACAAATGCCTTTCTGGTTGACTATGTTTGAAGAACAAAGATATTGCAAACACTATTCAATGTTTTCCCTTCTCACCTAGGGAGTGACACATGCAAAAAAATGTTGAAAATAAGGTTTTGGCAGTCCATCTGTAAACTTGGTACTCTTTAAGCCTGCTTCTTTGATTCTTATTTGCTGAGTTTGTTTTCTTACACACAAGTGTGTTTTTACCTCTATCCTCTTCCCTTCTTTTTCTTAATATTTTTGTGCATGAGGTTTTGGCAACCCTCCATCCGGAGACCATACTTCAACGGTTGGTGTATTATGTTTGTGTTTATTATTCCTTGGCCATAGAGAGCAATATATTGTGTTCAAATTTGTGACTATTTGTGTTGAATGCACTGATAAAGTTGGTAAGAAGGAAAATTGATGGGCACAGACTTTTTTCTGAAGTTCATAGTTTCATAATAAAGCAATTTTGACTTTTTTTACCCTGTTGGATTTTCCTTCAATATGAATGTTTACTTTACTTTTCAGGTTGGAACTGAGATCTCCTTTAAGCTTCCTATAACATCCTCTTCTTCATTTGAGAGCATGTTTAGGGAAATTGAAAATTACATGCGAAGATCGGTTTCTAATTCTGAAATGAATTGTTCTTCCGGTACTAGTGCTGGTGATGAAAAAGACCATCTTGGAATTGAAAGTTACGGTATATCTGTTACCACTCTTGAGGAAGTATTCCTAAGAGTTGCTGGATGTGATTTTGACATTGCACCCAGTGAGCTTAAAGAAAGCTATGTCCTTGCTAGTTCTGTGGTTTCTGACATTTCTGTTCAACACATGCCAAGCAAATTCTCTCCGTCTCAGCATTTTGGGAAATCTGAAAAGTCTGAGTTCTTGGCTGTTGTAGTAAAGAGAGCGTTTGGCTTGATATTTTCTACAGTTTTCAGTATTATGAACTTTCTGAGTGTACAATGCTGTGGCTGTGACATAATATGGAGATCAAAGTTTTGGCAACATTCTAAAGCATTATTTATTAAGAGGGCCATAACTGCTCGTAGAGACCGCAGGACACTTGTATTTCAACTTTTGATTCCTGCTGTGTTCTTGTTTGTTGGTCTTCTCTTTCTTAAGCTCAAGCCACATCCAGACCAGCTATCAGTAACTCTGACAACTTCAGAATTTAATCCACAATTAATCGGTGGTGGTGGTGGTGGTCCAATTCCTTTTGATCTGCACTGGCCTATTTCCAAGCAGGTTATCAATTATCCTTTAAACCTTTGTCCTTTCATTTTGGTGTGTGTATAAGGTTTTCTTCTTAGACAGCACTGGATACTCCTGGGGTTAAGCTTCATTTTATGGCATTTGTGAAAACTACTTAATTGGCATTTGGTTGCACAGGTTGCACATTACATTGAAGGTGGTTGGATTCAAGAATATAAACCTAGTGCTTATAAGTTCCCTGATGCTGAAAAAGCATTGTCCAACGCAATAGAAGCAGCAGGGGAAACACTGGGGCCAATTCTATTATCCATGAGCGAATATCTAATGTCTAGCTTCAATGAATCCTACCAATCAAGGTCTGCTGACACATATTTTTCAGTTTGTTTAAGTCTGCATTTTTTTAATGTCGCTTTTGGATTAACCTTGATTGTGTTGATCTTCGTTTAATGAGTTTATTTCTCCTTACTCAAGATTGACACTAGTAACTTCTCTATTTCTCTATTACTCAATACTACAATTTTAGATCATTTGTTTCTTTGATATTTTTGTTAAGGGGCTTTGGTTCAAGCTGCTTCATGGCTGATAAGGTTTGATATGTTGTGGGTTCTGCTAACATGATAACTTAAAATTATCGTTGGAATTTATTTGGAGATTAGGCCTCGGAACAGAACTGTTTTTTTTTAGTTGAGTTATATCAACTGCTTTTTTTTTTTTTAAAGTTTAAAGATAATATTTGAAATAAGTTTGATGATGCTTAGAATTTCATGGCCCAATCATTTTATCCAAACATAATTTTGACTCCAAACAGCATTAAATTTAATTTCATGACTATTTCCCCATATTGAATTTTTAACATGTGAGCCGTTACGAGTTTACCATGACGTTATCTGGTCTTTCAAATGTGTTAGCCACTTCCTAAGCCACAATGAGTCGAGTACTCTTAACCTTTCCTATGCAAATTTTTACTTTTTTTTTTAACTACTATTTATTACTACATATGTTATAGGGTTTATATTGGTATGTTTATGTATTATAGTAAATTTTATTAGCCCTTTATATTATCTTTTATTGTCATTTTACCTTCTTTATTTTAGGATTCCCTTGTATGCATGTAACTTCTTGAGATTTGAGTTTTTTCAAAAAGGGAAAAAACAACCCAATTGAACAAGAGTGATTAAAGACATAAAAACATCTTCAAGAAGCAAAACGAGCCAAGAACCACCATGGGAGAAACCAAAGAACTTTAAAGAGAAATGTTGAAGCACCGTGGGCCTTCAAAATATACTTGGACAAAGAAGAATCCGAAGAAGGAGAATCATGTAAAGCAAACTCTAATACCTTCAATTCTTCAAGAAATCTTTAAGAATCTGAATCTTCTTTTCGAGATAAAAGCAATATAGACATATTTTTTCTTCACAAATACTCAACTTGAGAGCTGAAACAATGTCGTCCTTCGAGCAACTCAAAGGAGAATCGATAGACCAATCAGAAATGGAGACACAAGAAAAACTGGAGAATTAAATGCAGGCTTGAAAGAGGATAATCTTTAAAACACCAAAGAAATGCTCAACACATGTATCCCCTTTCCTTAAGTAGAGGAAGCAGTGGATAATGAAAGTGCTTACGAAGTCTGTGGTGTAACCAAAGGACGGGATATTATTTGAGAAGAGAATGTTCAACCTTACAAAGAGAAAAGGACTCTTATTTATACTAAAGGAGTCTTGGGTAAGGGAAATAAGCCAGCCTAACCGAATGGCCTTTAAAACAAACAACTAATTAACAAACTAACCAACCAATAAGATTACTGGCTATTAAAAATACAACTAAAGGCTACATCAGATTCCCTCAACCTAAAAATCAAACTCGTCCTCCGGTTACTTTGCAAGTGTGAAGGTATTTGGTGCTTGATAGGGGTAAACATCCGCCACATTAAAGATTGGGCTGATGTTGTAGTCAGAAGGTAGCTGTATTTTGTAGGTGTTTGGCCCGCACTTCTCTAGTATTTTGATGTTGACTATGAGCTTTGGAATGGGTTCTTGCAACAATCTTTGAGCTGGAAATCTATGACTATGGGCTGGAATGCAGAGGATTATTATCCAAAGCTCATAGTCATAGCATTATGTCAGAATAAAAGAGGTTGGAGATGAAGATTGGATGCTCGATTTCTTTTTCTTTTTTTTTCTTTTCTTCACTTTGCTTTCTTTCACTCCCTTTTGGGAGTTTATCCCTTGAACATTTGTATTTTGTCAAAAAAAAAAAAATATAGGACATATTGTAACATGTGCCTTTGTTTGTGCACATGATCCCTAGAAAGCAGTACCTTGAATTAATAAGGATTGAAAATTGCACCCATTTATGATCGCTGCTTCTGCTTTTCAGGTATGGAGCAATTGTAATGGATGATCAGAACAGTGACGGCAGTTTAGGATACACTGTACTGCACAACTGTTCTTGTCAACATTCTGCTCCGACCTTTATCAATTTGGTCAATGCTGCAGTTCTGAGGCTTGCTACGGGTGACCAGAATATGAGCATTCAAACACGAAATCATCCTCTCCCCATGACAAAAAGCCAGCACTTGCAACGTCATGTATGTCATTTCTTTCTATGAATATGAGTATGGCAGCATTTTGTGTGTATGAACTTTGTTATACTAGGTTCCAGTCAAGGATGACAGGCTAGCAGATAAGTATATTGTGTCATCCCTTGGTCCTCGTGTATGCCTCGTGTACCTTTCAGAATCATAATTTAAAATTTTTCATATGTTTCTAGTAGATATTCAGAAGACATTACAAGGGCCAAGGGAGGATTAGAGAGCTCTCGTACCTCTCCCACACAGCCCTAGACACCTAGCAAAAAGATAGCCCTACCTTCTACCGTTGGTGTTTTTTACCCTATTTACAAAATACCCCAACTGCCTCTTAACTAACTAGGGACCACCATTCCCCTTACTTCCTACCCCCTCCCCCCCTTCGTTATTGGGGATCTATCAGTTTCTTAACGAGAAATAAAAAGAATAAAATGGTGTTGTGTGGAGACATGTTTGGCCCAATCCCCCTCTTTTACTTTTCAGAATCTTAATGGGAAGTTCTCTGATTTTAGTGACAAAAATAAAATAAAATGGCGTTTCCAAGATATGTTATGCCCATAGATTAAGTAATCATTGGAGTACACAAATGACTTGTTTTCTCTCATCTCCATAAATTATTCCTCTTCTAAACAAAAGATGCTTTCGACCTTAATCATCTTCTGTCAGAGATTTTTTTTTTTCCTTTCATGGCATTCATTTGACATGCGGCCATCCTTAAAAATTTGGGGCATGTCTGGTAAATAGGGAAAAGAAATTTACCATCTTTTGCTTCATTGCTATTATGATTCGTTTTCACATACTTACGGTTCTTGGAAGACTCCTCTTATTAAAATAACTTAGTCTATAGATTCCTCTGAACTGACACAACGCCATTGTTAGTTTCAAATTTATAGATCTCTATCTTTTTTACAAATGATTGATAGGTTAAACTTTCAAAAGTGATTCCAATCTTTGTTTGGAGTTCCGCTTAATAGTAAAATTATATTGAGTTTCAAATTTATAGATGTCTATTTTTTTTACAAAATGATTCAGGTTAAACTTTCAAAAGTGATTCCAATCTTTGTTTGGAGTTCCGCTTAATAGTAAAATTATATTGAGTTTCAAATTTATAGATCTCTATTTTTTTTACAAAATGATTCAGGTTAAACTTTCAAAAGTGATTCCAATCTTTGTTTGGAGTTCCGCTTATAGTAAAATTATATTGTGTTTAAAGTTCCTTAAAAACATGTCTGGTAAATAGAGAAAAGATGTTGACTATCTCTTGCTTTACTGCTCCTATGTTTCCTTCTCGTATACTAGAGTTTGTATCCTCAATGGTGCTCGCTTTCTAATTTATTTGTGAATTATTCTTCTAGTATTCTTTGTTCATCTTAGGATGTTCGTAATTCTTATTAGTTTCTTTGTTTCTTTATCCTCGCTTTCACTCCTTCGCAAGTTTGTATTCTTAAAAATTTATGTTCATTTTCATCTATCAATGAAGAATGAAGAGTTCATATCTTGCTAAAAAAAACAAAAAAACAAAAAACAAAAAAAACTATAGAGAAAAAAGCAAACTAACTTGGAACGTACTAAATCGGATTCTTCCACAAATTCTCCTATATACGAAAAGGGATCTTAATATTATGTGCTATATATACATTTCTGTACGCTTCAAAAGAATCTTGTCATTTTGTAGGATCTGGATGCTTTTGCTGTTGCTGTCATCGTCAATATAGCATTTTGTTTTATTCCTGCATCATTTGCTGTCTCTCTTGTAAAGGTAAGAAACTCTTATTAATCCCTTCTGAACATGACATAAATTCTTTGCTGTATTGATTCAACGGTGTTTCTTTTTAACTATTGTTGAACCCAAGTTTAGGCTAATAGCCATAGGTTCCTGTAATTTAATCTTTTTGCTCATACTATTAACACTCTCCTCTACTTGTGGGCTTGAAAATTAGTACACGACCCAACAAGTGGCTATCAATACTAATGGGTGACATTATAGAGGTTTGAACACGGGCCTCCTAATCGGGTATTTAAACTACCATTGAACTCAAAAATATAAGTTGATAGGTTACTAATGGTTCTGGTGAATAGAGTTCCAAATGGATAGCAATAATAAAATTCTTACGATATGATAAAATTATCATTAAAATATAAGAACAGTTTATCCATGCTGATCTTTTGTAAATGGATCATTCTCCAATAAAAATTTTAGAATAACAAAAATCTACCAAAATGTATTGCATAGACTCGAAATGAAATATCAATCAAAATAAGAATGTTATTAATTTGATGTTGTTTACTATAAATTTTCTGCAATCGGAATAGAAATCAAATATACCATAATTACTAGAATACTGCTTTCATATTTCTAGCTAATCAAAAATGCTAATATAATTTTTAGTTAAAATAACAAAAGCTAACTATAAATTATAAATTATTTTATTAGTATCTTACTTTATTGTAATATTCTTTATTTCCACAAATTATTTGATATTAACAAATAATAATTAATTAAAATGAAATTACATCAATTAAAACAGATTAATATAAATTTTATTAGAACAATAATTATCAATATAAAATATTATTAAATAATAACAATGGTATAAAATTAAATAAAGGTTCTTGGGGCCATGGAATATGGAATGAGACGGAGATTGATGAAGTTTATGGAGAGGAATGAAATCATCCCTTTTTAGGAAATGATTCTCAAATTTAGGTCTCACGAGTGGATTCCAATACAGAATTTTAGTAAACACCATAAAAGAGAATTTTATTTCCATTCCTACATTCAAATTCTCTTGAAAAAAACAGGGTCTTATCCAGAATTTTAGTAAACACCATAAAAGAGAATTTTATTTCCATTCCTACATTCAAATTCTCTTGAAACAAACAGGGTCTTATTTATTACGTTGTAAATTATTTGTAATTTTATTGAATGATTATCTTGCTTGGAAGTACACAATTTTATTTTAAGATTAGATTAAATAAAATAAAAATATCTCATGCAACTCACTTTTCAAATAGACTTGTAGTTATTTTAATGTAAGCATGATAAAATTATCTTAATCTATCCAGGAACGTGAAACAAAAGCTAAACACCAGCAAATGATCAGTGGGGTAAGACATCTCTTCAGTTGCTTCTGTCATTGTTATTAAATTTTTAACCCCAACATTGTCTACAATATAATGTTAACAGGTTTCAATACTTTCATATTGGACATCTACATATGTATGGGACATTATCAGCTTCTTGGTTCCTACATGTTTAGCACTTTTACTCTTTTACATATTTGGTACGTCCATTCTCTACTAATTATATTCGTTCCAGAGTTCAGATGATTACAAGTTTTATTCTTATGCCAATCTTCAATGAAATTTGGAATTTGATCTTTTGTGCCTATGAGGGGGGTTGTGAATGAAAGTGACTGCCTTTACAATTTCTTCCCACATTATTAGGGGACTTCAAGAGGTCTATGTTACCAACAGTAAACTTCTTTCAAGTCATTTTTGTTGGCCCTGTATTTATTTATTAGTATTTGAACTAGTATATATATTTTTTACCGGTCATTAATGTGATCAACAAGAAAAGTTATTGGGTCATCGAGAGAGAGCAATTCCTTACTCAAGATTCTATACATCTTATAGGGTAACATTAGTTAGTTAGCCTATCAACAACCAAACAACAAACTGTCAGTGTTTATTTTTGTTATCTTTATTGGATAGTCGAGCTTTCATTGAAAAAAATAAATGAATACAAAAGGATGTACGAAAAGTGGCAGCCCAAAAAGGAGCCAAACAAAACTAGACCTAACAATAAGGTTAGGAGGATAATTTCGAAAGTTTTGGTAACAGACACCCAAAGAGAAGCATTAAACCTGACAAGAGACTACACCTCCCCCTTAAACCTCTCAAAGTTCTCTTATTTCTCTAAATCCAAATACACCTGGCAAAAAAACTTGCACTCCAGATAACCAATTGACAGCTTGTTGCTAACACCCGACTAGCTACATGACCTTAGTCATTAGATAATGCAGTATAACTTTTTTCATGAATCATTTGTCTCCACTCAAAACAATCTTGTGATGTGAGGTTATGACGGCAAGTTTTGGTATAAATAATGAAAAAAGAGGTGGTTCTCCTCTCGGATTGAAAGGTT